CCTAAATTATCATGCAGTGACCTGCAGACTTGAATTTCTCTTTCTAAAGATGCATCACTGAACCAGGTATGTGTGGTAACACATCAGGCAAGGGTGCTTGAATTTCTTTCTAAAGATGCATCACTGAAGCAGATATGTGTGGTAACACATCAGGCAAGGGTAAAACTCCACATGGCACAGTCACTCTCCTGTCTTTATCCTCCATATCTGAAAGGAAACTTCCCTTCCCTTCCTCAACACACCCAGAACCACTGCCTCGAACACCAACCCCACCTCCAGTAACATAAAGCATTCATTCCTTGCAAGAAAACAGCACAGAGAGTTCTGCAAGTAACGAGAGAGAAAAGTAGGGCAGCCTTTCCCCAAGCACCACACTGAAATCTGCAGGGAGTAGCATCAGAGACTCTTGCCTGCGAAGGAAAGGGCTGTGGCAGGTGCCATGAGCATCAATCCAAGGCTGGTCTAAAAGACCAGAGGCACTGTGCTCATCTATAACCCACCCTGAACCATTTGCTCAGCTGGCCTGAAACAAATACAGCTGCAAGGGAGAATTTACATGTGTGGCAACTCAAGTTCCAATTAACTGAGGAAATGGGTCCTGGGAGATCAAATTAGTTTGTGGCAGCAAGAATAGTTAATTTAGCATGCTCAGACAAGCAATTATTTTTTTCCCTAAATACCACTCTCTCCATGCATTGATGCCTCTCTGCACTGATCCACAGCCAGATCTTGTAATAACATTTGTGACAGTCTTCTAGAAGCTGTTCTGCAGAGAGAATAATCCAGGTTTGCTTTAGTTAAACTAGCAGAACAAGCTGCAGGAACAGGTGTGAGAGTCACCAGGAGCACACTTGGGATTGCAGAAGCAGGGCATGGCCTAGCACAGCTTCTGCACACAGCATTGGTGCCAAGCTGCACACAGCCAAATGACCCACATAGGAAAAGGACGAGCTACAACAGGAAACACTTAAAAACCTCTAAAAATTTAATTTAAAAAAAAAGGAAATGTTTTTGCTGTTGAGGGTGACCAAGCACTGGCACAGGTTGCCCAGGGAGGTTGTGGAGTGTTCATCCTTGGAGATACTCAAAAGCCAGCTGGACATCTTCCTGGCTTCATCCTTGGAGACACTCAAAAGCCAGCTGGACATCTTCCTGGACAATGTTTAGATGGCCCTGCTTGAGCAGGGAGTTGGACCCAATGTCCTCCAGAGGTCCCTTCCAACCTCAGCCATTTTGTGATTATGTAGAAAAGCTTATCAACTCACCCTGCTAGAGAGGGATTGCAAATGGCCCATATTTACATCCTCATCATGCAGGAAAGGGACTGGATAGAGCTGGCTTTGCTGACTTGACACTGGCTGCTTTCCCAGCAGGCAGAAGGAAGTTTTCAACTTCTGCCTCAGACTGAGCTTTTGGCATTAACCTCAACATTTGGGAAGAAACCAATGCAATGTCTGAAGAATAAGGGTTGTTTGGACCACAATGGCACCTACAGGCCATGTGAAAATTCAAGTATGAATTAAAAATCTTTTCCTTATACTCACATTTCAGTACTTTGGCAGTAACAATTCCAGAGCCTCTTATACCAGCTGATCTGGGCAGAAGAGACCTGTGTTCTTACAAGAACAAGCAGAGAAGGCAAGGCATCTTTTGCAGACATAAGTTTCAGTTATGCTTGTTGGTGGATTTTTTTTTCTGAGCAAAGCTCATTTAGAGAGATGAAAGGAAATTGTCCTATACTGTATGGGACTTGGTGTCAAAAGATAAAATCCTCATCTTTTACTTCTTGCCCCTCACCCACAGGAATCAGAGAATCAGTGGAAATGCTAGTCACACATAGCATGACAACCTTTAGCTCACTATTTCCAAGTCTGGTACAGTAATTTTATCTAGAAGTTTACTGCCATAAACAAACACATGGTTTAGGCTTGTATTTTTTTAGGGAAAAGATAAATTAACTGAACTTACTGAGAGCAGTCAGGCAACCTCCTAAGTTATTACAAATGTATCACAGTACTTGCCTGTTATCCAGTTAGGGCAAACCATACAGTCAAGCCAACACCAGGATAAAAGATCTAGCAGGCAAGCAGTAGTTCCTTAGGAAACTGCTTTGGGCTTGCTTAACATTTTAGCCCACTACTAGTTTTACACTTCAGCCTGCTTGGACAGCAGCAATTTCCATGGCTTAAAAGAACCCTCTGTATGTAGACCAAAGGAGTACACTGGCTGAGTTCCAGACACCTTCTCACTCTCATTCTGGTTTAGATGTAAAGATCCTACATTTTGGCACTTTCCATAATTTTTGAGAGATGCCAGACAACCGACAAGCAATTAAGGTTTATTCTCATAAAGGAAAGATGTCAGTACGTTGATATATGCTCTTTTATTTATATCCCATGAATATCAGAGCAGTTCCAGGAACTTAGAACACACTGAATGGTCGCTCGTATTTACCTTCTTGGATAAGCTTCTCCCTACGGTCCTGTGGAAGAAAGAGAACATTCATCATTATCCTGTTAGATAAGAGTTTAAATCAGCCTGGGATAAGAGAACAGCAGCTCTAGTATTTCAGCATGGACTACATAAAGATAGCACCATACACAATCTCAAGGGTCTTTTCCAACCCACCTGATTCTTTAAGCACAAACTCTGGTTACAGCTGTTGTGGGTAGGCAGTAGAAAATAACAAGCCACTTAGCTTCACCTACCAAAGACCGGCTCAGCACATCTCTGCACATCTAGCTATTCTCACAGGCCAGCAGAGACCAATTCCTGGGATGTATTTTTCACCAAACTAGTTGTGTCACAGTTAATTTATACCTTAGTTTTTACCTCCTCCTTCTGGCTGAACAATCCAGTTTAGAGACCTAATTACAGAGAAACTTCTTAATAACCTGCCTATATGTGCCTGTGCTCACTTTCAGTCAGTTTGTATCTCACTCTGCAGTCATGTTCCTTTCTGACAGGTACCATTACAGTACATGGACACTGCAGATAATGCCCAGACTCCTTCTGCTGGATAAAACCAGAAGATTTGCTTAAGACTTAGCAATTTATCTCTTGCTTTCCCAGACACACAGCAAACACTCCTCAGAGAAAAGAGTATAATGGCTATTGAGCTTTATATACTACCAGAAAAAAACAAGAAAAATCCCCAAACATCACTAAAGGAACTGGAATAAAGGAAAACAAATTATCCTGGACACTAATTAAAGACTTCAGCATGACAAAAAAACTGCAGAGATACTGAAGTCTCAAAAACATTTATATCAAGATGCTCAGCATGTTTCCTAAACCCTCTGTTTTCAGTTCATTCTAGCAAACAGCATTCCCTACAAATATTCTATTAATTTATGCTAGTGCTTCTTAGTTTATGACTTGATCTAAAAGTGCCACTTTTGTGCAAAACAGGGAAATAAAAGTGTTTTACAACAGCCACAAGCCCTCTACTAAAACCAGCCACTGTCTGCCAGTTACCTAGTGTTTTCTCATATATGTATGTAAGCTGGTTTTTTTTCAGAGTGATCTACCATTGTTCAGACTGTGACACCCACATTTTAGAGTTAGAACGAAACAAAGATAAACCTTCCAAAATCTTGAACACCCAGCTGAGACCAGGCACTGCAATCAGCATAATTACAGCTCCCCATTTGCTTCATGAGATGAGAGAAATGGTCAGGCAATTGCACATTTTGTACACACTAGACATTGCTGAGATCAGGCACTGCAATCAGCATCGTTACACCTCCCCGTTTGCTGAAATGGTCAAGGAATTGCACATTTTGCACACACTGGACATTGCTAGGCCTGTTATCCATAAGCTCCCTATTTAATTTTAGAAAGTGCAGTTAATGCATGTCAACTGCTGCAAGTCTGTTATGATTAATTTACACTGTCAGTGTTAGAGAGCTCTGTTATACAAGCACAGCCCGGTCAGGCAAACTCTGACTGGTCATACCCAGGGGAACAATAAAGGGCTCTTAGTAAACAGGACTTTGCAACCAGTTATGAGGCTTTGAGATAGCAGACTCGGTGTCAGCCTTCCTGCCCTCCTGCTTTCATGGTATTAACCCTTCCTAGGGGGATGAGGATGCCCCCAGAGTGGGTCCCCACCGCACGGCCTGGCGTTTGTGGCGCTCGCCGCCTCACCCTGTCCATTTTGAAGACAGCCATCCAGAACAGGATGGGGCCTATGCCGAAAACAGCTCCCAGGAAGGACGTCTTGGGCGTCGGGCGGAAGGTCGGGTACACATTGTGCGACCTGGCGTAGGCCCAGCGGAGCAAGGCAGGGTTTTCCTAAGGGCGGAG